CGAAAAGTTCACATTTAGTTTTATAGTTGATTGAGCTGATTTTTTACGGTTTTTAAAAAAAATCTCGAATAACTCGAGAAATCGGGTACGAGAATTCTCGAAACTCAAGAAAAAAAGTCAGACACCCTACCTCGTAATAAATGGCATTGTATAAAATTCAACATTTACGTATAAAATTTATTTATAAATAATAAAGGCTACTACTCCATTATACCTGTGTTCAAGTAGTTTTCACTAGAAGCTACATATGGTGCATTTTGGTAAGTTTCCAGCAGAAGCTGTATATGGTGTTTCTTGCGCCTTTCAATTATTGCAAACAAAATTAGGCAGTACTGCAATGACATTACAATTTAAATTCAACGTTTTAGCTTTTTATATTCCTTTACATGTCACTACGTGTAAATACGTTGACTTGGGACATATTTTTCGTGGTTTTTGTATTCTACCGTCGTCTATTTATTTGTAAGTCAATGTTTTACCTCCTATAAATACGAAGAAACTAGCGCCATCTAGCGTTGAATATATAAAGCCACATACTAAATTCTATTGTGTTTAAGGTTCTACTACTGACCGACAGGTGTCATTATACTGAAATACAAAAAAAATATTGAACTATATCGACCGAAATGGCGTTGAAATGTGCAAAATGCCTCAAGACAGTTATAGGACGAGAACGTCTAATCTGTACATGCCGTAAAATTAAATGATTTGAACTGCGCTCAAGTTTCAGTGCAGAGATTCTACAATATATTAACACCAGAAAGAAAAAGCAGTGGAAGTGCCCTTTTTGCCATAATAAAACCCTTATAACTGAGAATGAGTGACGGCAACTTCCTGAAATAGCTAACATTACAATAAGAACAAACAAGAACAAAAAACTGAACCACTGAACGAATCATCTCCTTCAATTAATTCAAGCATATTTGGGGATACTTTACAAAATTCTCCTGTCACCCCCGCAATAGAAAAGGAAGAGACACTAACACTATCCAACATCCAAAAATTACTACAGGCGAACAACAAATCCGTAATTTCAGAATTAAAAAATATAATACAAAATGATATAGATGAAAGTTTTGGCCGAACGAAACGAAACCAAATTACTGCGACAAGCAACTTAGATACAACTTATATGGACTCATAGAGAACCAATGGGAAACTGAAGAAGAAACTCATGATCGTGTAATTTATGCCATACAAGATATTCTGAACGTTGATCTCACAGGCTATATTGAAAACATCTCACGCATATGAATGAAAGGCCATAAAAGACCAGTCCGCATAGAACTCATTTCAAAAAGAATAGGCAAATACATATTGACAAACGCAAGTTATTTTAAAAATACGGGTCTTGCGGTCCTGAATTTCTAGATGAACAATCTCTACGTGAGCGACATCTACTTCGCGCCGCTCTATTATCTGCCCGCAGAAATGGTAAACGTGCAGTGATCCATAACAATAAACTTGAAATAAACGGAAGGGAAATGGATATACAACAATTACAAACCACAAAACATAAAATTCCACGTTCAGAAGCATTCACCGAACAAACTAATAGACCAACCCCACCTAGCCAACCTTCCCAACCAGATGTCAGACCACAACATCGCCGCCAAGAGAGAAAACCGAAAAATTCAGAATAATAATAATAAACAACATTTGCCAGAACACGATCCATCCTAACACAACTTTCGAGACTTTTAACTTTATTTACCAGAATATCCGCAGCTTACTTCTGAAAACACACCACTGGAAGATCTTTTAGATGAGAAATCAGAGACGAGCGCCATATGCATCACTGAAACGTGGCTTAATAAACAAAAAGTTAAGTACTTATAAATTACGACGTCATACTGCACAGAAATACGGGAAGGAGGAGGGGTGTGCATTCTTTTGAAAAATTTTATTGAAAGTAAAGAACATGAATACATTAAAATTTATCCTTAGAATCGGTTTTTGAAATTTGCGGAATAGAGATACCCAACATTAATGTATTACTGATAGTATTGTATTGGCCGAACAGTAATAGTGATAGAAACACTTCATAAAACTTAGTACGTTATTGCAAATATTAGATACAAAAGATAAAACTAAATCTATAATTTTAGGCGGAGATTTGTTTTTACCAAAAACCAATATGAAAAGGAAAGGAAAAAGACAACTTTCAAACCTAATGCTATCATCAAACTTTAAACAAATCGTAGAAGATCCAACTCGAGTTACAGACACTACATCACCTGTATAGACTTAATATTTTCAAACTTAAAAAACCAGTCCTTAGAAACATCCGTCCAATAAGAAGAAGAAGAAGAAGAAGAAGAAGAAGAAGGCATTTTCTTATCATTGCAGGTAACTTCACCGGACTTAAAATATCTTATTATAGAAAAAAAACTATTTAGCGAAAAAAACAAGGAAAGCTTCAAAAATGTATTGCAATTAATTAACTGGTATGACATTATAAAGCCCGATAAAAATATAAACGAAAATTATAATGCTTTTCAAGAAACTTTAAAATTAATCCTAGACAAGTACATACTAAGAAAACCTATAAATATACATCAAAAACGAAAGCTTTCTTGGTTAACAAAAGGAATTAAACCATCGTGTAGAAACAAGAAACTACAAAAAATATTTATATCTAAAAGTAATAACTTTGAAAAATTTTGAATTCTAATAGTAAAATATATGAAAAAATATTAAAAAAGACAGTTCATAAAACAAAAAAAAAAAAACAAAAAATATAACAAAGTTCAACCAATCTAATAATAAAATGAAAACAATGTGGCACATAATAAATAATGAAATAAATAACAATTCATGCGTTTCAAAAAAGCAAACAATTATCTCTAACACCTTTAACAAACACTTTGCTCAGGTAGGAAACGAAGCCAAATCTATAAAAAATGTTAAGAAATCTAGACCAGCAAATACTGTCCACCATGTCGAAAACTCACTCCATCTGCAATCCATAGAACCTTGCGAAGTGAAGTATATAATAAAGAACCTAAAATACAAAAATAGTTATGGCATTGTCGAAACCCCCCCAATCTTGATTAAAAATGCGCTGAAAACCTAACTATACCTTATACACTACTAATAAACCAATCTTTCCTAGAGGACTGCTATTCAGATGCCTTAAAAACATCAATTGTCAGACCAATATTTAAAAAAGGTTGTAAAATAGATTATATATATATATATATATATATATATATATATATTAGATGTAAAATAGATAGAAGGATGTAAAATAGAACAATTATCGACCCACCTCGTTATTACCGACATCATAAAAAATTTTCCAATCTGCAATGTGTAAAAAATTGTACTCATTCTATGAAAATTATAAAATATTTAACGAAAATCAACACGGGTTTCGAAAACACCATTCTACTATCCTTGCTGTATACAAATACACCCAACAAATACTAAATACACTCAACAAAAGAAAATATGCCGTAGGTCTCTTGCTTGATATGAGCAAAGCTTAAGAGCGTGTGAAATACAACATAATTGCTAAACAAACTCTACGACACAGGCATAAGAGGCATCCCTCATAAATGGATGTCCTCTTATCTTTCAAAACGCGAACAGTACGTAGAAATGGAATATGTAGATTATAAAACAGGTAAAATTAATTATGTATTATCAAATAAAACTGACATTCATAACTCTATCCCACAGGGTACTGTCCTCGGCCGTACTCTATTTCTTGCTTACATAAATGATCTCCCTAAAACTATAAACGAACACTGCACTCTCTTTGCAGATGACATAAGTATCATATTTTCATGTACTAATACTCAGGAAATTAAAAACAAACTAGACCCGACATTACACACAATAGTAAACTGGCTTGATGAACACAATTTCCAATTAAACATTAGTAAAACCAAAATAACAGAATTCCGACCATCACAAAAAGACATCTAAATTTACAGTACACCTACAACAATAGTCAAATAGTTACAGAAAATGTAGCAACCCTATTAGGAATAGACATCGACACCAACATTAACTGGAAATCCCACATCTATAAATAAACGAAGCAACTTTCTTATCTAATTTTCGCTTTAACACTTCTAAAAAAAACTACTGACTTTAAAACCGTCTTTGCAGCTTATTACGCGTTCGTTCATTCATAACTCACTTACGAAATAGTAAAGTGGGGAAATTGCACCATAGTACAGGAAAGAATATTAGCTAATATCAAACAGACCGATTCGTGTAATGTAAACCATATTTCATTAAACATAAAATATTAACATTGACCTCGATATACATTCTTGAATGCTGTGAATTCGTCAAAAAGCATATGCACTTATAATGTCCAAATTTAACAATAAAAAGAAATAATACAAACTTACATAAATTAGAACTTCCCGCAACTACACTCAGCCTGTACAGATCTGGCCCACATTCAATGGCAATTCAAATTTATAATAGCATACCAAATGAAATAAAAAAACCAAGAAAAATTATCGACATTTATTGCCCATCTGAAAAAGTACCTGTTCAACAACATACGCATTTTATAAATTAGATGAAATATTTAATAAAAGTTCCTAGTCATTAAATAGATTAGGTCATAAATAATAAATACTTAAATGTTATTTAATTTCATGTCATTACAAAATAGTTATTATTAATAATTTGTAGTTTGTAGGTTTGTTTGTACATTTATATTTGTAATTAATAACTTGTAGTGCTCTCCTGAATTGCGGCGCCCTGTCAGCGTCACATGTGTTTTGTTGTGATTACTGATTTATATTTTATAACATCTTATGTGAAACCATGTGGCAAGCAATAAAGATATGAATATGAATATGAATAATAACGCTCATACTAAAAGTAAGGGAAATGTACAACCCATGATAGAAATAAATTTTAAACCATACAAAAATTTCTCCCGGCCCGAGAATCCAACCCGGGACCTCTGCGTGGCAGTCCAGCTCGGTAACCGTTCGGCCACAGAGTTAGTTAGTAATAAACTGACTCACTCTTTCGCCAAGGTACTCTCGGATGAGATTGAGTGGTTGAGGCTTCAGAACGTTCTCGCTGCCAACCCAAGTCTCGAACAGGGCCTGCAATGTGAAGTTTTTTAAATAAAAGCTAGGAGGTAAACGAGCAAACGAACCACTTGATGGAGGGTGGTCAATGTCACCCATGGTATTTATCTGCAACATCAGAGCTGATTCGCTTTTTACAATTACACCATAGTATTGAACATTGCAATACTATGATGTAATTTTATTATGATATCTAAAAAAATTACGCGGGATCTACTCTCGACATGACGTAATGGGAGCTTAAACAAAGGAACACAAAATGGCTGCTTATTTTCTATGGGGATTTTTTATTAAGTATTTTTATAGGAACACAAAGAAATTATGCAAATAAATACCTAGTCAGGTCATAAATTCTGTCACATGTTTAATATAAAATAATTGAAACAAGTTTGTTCATTATGTATCCATTTATATACCAAAATGAACTTAACAAAACATAGATTCCTATGACACTAAAGTTTATTCAAAATGACCTCCGTGATTTTGAATACAGGCTTTCAATCTGCGCGGCCAGTTGTCTATCGCAGCACGAACGAGGTCCATGTCAATATCAGCGGCTGCCTTAATCAAGGATGTCTTGAGTGACTCCAAATTGAGATGAGGCTTTGAGCACGCCTTTTCCTCCAAGTGTTGCCATATCTTGTAATCTAACGGATTCAAATCTGGACTGGAGGAGGGCCAGTCTTCGTGCCAGATGAAGTCGATTTCACGCGCCGCCAGCCAGTCTTGTGTGCTCTTCGCTCTATGAGCTGGCGCCGAATCTTGTTGGAATACCCAGTGCCTGTTATTGAACATGGTATGAGAAACAGGTTCCACAAGGTTCGTCAGGACTGTATTTTGATACACAACTGCATTCGTTTTTACACCTTTCTCACAAAAATGTACCTCTGTTAAGCCCCAATAAGAAACTCCCAACCATACCATGAGCGAGGATGGAAAATGACCTCGTTGGACACGCGGAATACGGTTGCTCGCTTCTTCACTACTGTGTGCGTACACCTTATCATTTTGTTTGTTGTAGCTCTCTTCTACGGTAAAAATTTTTTCATCTGAAAAAAGAATTTCCCGATATTTTTCAGCTTCAACCATTGGCTTCAACAAAGCGCGGCATCTCTTCAGTCTCAGGTCCATTAGACGAGCATTCAAACGATGTCCTGTTTTTCTTCGATATGCCCGAAGCCCTAAGTCTTCATTTAACACCCTTTTCACCGTGGTTCTGCTTAACCCCATCTGAAGGGCCAACAGTTTCTGCTTACGTTTGGGATTTCTTTGAATTGGCGCCTTCACAGCTTTTATCACTGCTGGAGTCCTAACAGACCGAGGGCGACCACTTCTTGACCTGTCATCTACACTAGAGTCTTCATTGTATCGTTTGATGGTACGATAAACGAATCTTTTGGTTATATTCAAATTTTTCAGTATGTCAAAAATTTGAATTGGCGCGTAACCGCAACGATATAACGCAATAACTGCAACACGGTCTTCTTTAAGCGTCCACTCCATATTTAAAAATGAGTAAAATTCTAAACAGTGTACATCTTACTACATAAAACTCGCCTGTCCGCTCGTTTCATAAACTCTCTCATATAAACTACTAGCACATTATACTACTACGTACAACCAAGTGTTATGATAAAGGTATTACATTTACTGGCAACTACATAGATTAGTTAACATATTTAAGCCACCGAAAATAGATTCCACTGACATTAGATACACCAATGTCAGAAAATATCAGACGACACCGTGATACAATCATAGAACTGTAATAACGACTTTTTCTATATGTCGGAACCGTCATGGTTTAGAACTGAATCTTCAATGTCGGAACCGTCATGGTTTAGAACTGAATCTTCAGGCATCGTTTGGGCAGATTTAGGGATCGTGCAATGCGTTTAATAATAACACTGTATATACAAATATTATTTATTGCACACTGGGACAAATACAAAATAATACAAAAAATATAAAGACAGGTACAACAGGCGGCCTTATTGCTACATAGCAATCTCTTTCAGGCACCCTTCGGGTTACCGGGAAAACTTTGAGATAGATAGCGGTAATTGAGGGCGCAACAGAATACATATTAAATACACATTGCACATTCCTACACAAATGAAAAAAGAAAAATAATAAATTAAAAAAAAAATATTTAAAACACATAACCATAAAAAAAATACATATATGTATTTTATTCACTTTCAAATCGAAGAACTATTTGTACTTTCTATTAATTTTAACGATCAAAATGGGCACATAAGCGAAACGGAGGATAGTTCCTTGAAGACGACTACACTGCATGGCGAGTCGATCGAAACGTGTGTCCGATCATGCCTGCTAACAATCTCACGACTCTGTCGTAGCGCAGGAAACGTAGTTGGGCGGACTATACCGCTAGGAGGTGCACTTGCGTTCCGTTTATTGTCCATACTCATTACTGTATCCGACACGGCCATTCTGCGCGACTCACGTCCTCGTGTGTTAATCTGAAATATAGAAGAACAGCACAGAACCCGCACAGCGAATCCCATTTCCAACAACTTTGTATTGCATTCGGAAACAAAATAAGAATGTTGAAATAGATTCAACACGCCTATTTCATTAACACCGATGATCTTAACTCATTCACTTAAATCGAATAGCAGCCATAGCTTATTAGTGCCAATCTAACCGGTGAGTCAATCCTCGACTCTATGATCTTAGTTACCAGGCGAGATAGACTGTATCACCCAGATCTTCCGTCCACCGCGCACTCACGGACTACTCAATGCGCAGACACCGACTTCTACTAGGCTACGGCAACGATAATCTTGCACAGTCTCTGGCCTAACGAATCGAGAACCTGTATATGTCATTAACAAGACGCTACTTCAACTTCTTATCTCCCCTTCATTCCCTATCTCAATAGGCACTTGGCCCTCAGGCATCTTCCTAATACGATCATTCTATTGAAATTCCTTATTTTGTGCAGACAAGAACTATTGAATTTTCGATATTTGATTTGTTTTTTGTATTTCCTTCAGGGTTGTTCGGGTTAATTTCAGGTTCTAATAAGGATAGACGATACGGCAGGCCGCAGCATTTGCTCCCTTATTAAAACACCTCCTCTACCTATATTTCAAAGTTATTTAAAATAGAAACATTTTCTTCTAATAAAACAAAACAAACATATCTGACGCAGAAAATGGTGACATACATCATTAAATAAAACCAAAAAAATGTTTAACCAAGAAGATTTCGCGACATTCTCCCGCCGTTGCAGGTGAAGGGTTAATTATACAATTATACATCATGTAAGTTTAGTTCAATTTTTGTGTTATTAAGTGGTAGTTGCCACTTAATAACACAAAAACTGAACTAAATTTACAGTTACAAATTTAATCTGTGCGAGATCCTGATGGGTCGCCCAGCACGTGAGACTCTTTCAGATTTGAAAGATTCCTGTGAAGACTGTCCAGGACCCGTGACTGCAGGGGTAACCACCGCTTGCCCACCTGATGCTGAGGAGATCTCTAGTGGAAACAGTCTCTGAATTGGTCTAACAAACTGGCCGTTTGCCGTTTTTACATGGACAACGCGTACGATTCCATCAACCCCCTTGTAGGTCTCTAAGATTGACCCCAAACGCCAATTGATCCTTTTTTTATTATCAGACCCAATTAATACAACGTCTCCCTTATTGATTTTTGCACCCTTTTTAATATTACGTTTTCCAACTATAGCCGAAACATATTCATTTCTCAAAAGAGTTTTCAAATCATTAACGAGTTTTTGAATATACCGCCATCTAACAGTTTTTCAGAATTTCAATCAGCAAAATTGTTCCTAATTGTATAAACATCCCTGGTGTAAGCAGTTTCAAAATTTCAGTATTACCAGATGCGTAAGCTATTGAACGTGAATTAACAACCACCTCTGATTCGCATAAAACAGTCTACGGGTCGTATTCCAGAACTCTACTCAATGCTCAAGTCAGGATTTGAGTATGACTTAAAGCACTAGGAATCATACTCAAATCCTTCCCATTAGGGTCGAATTTCCAGTGCTTGAAATCATACTCAAGTTCTGACTAGAGCATTGAGTAGAGTTCTGAAATACGACTCTAAATTTCCATACCCAACGTACGATGCAAATATTTTTTACAAGCATCATGCGGTCCCAAAATACTCCTCACCATGGCGCTTGAGGAGGTATAAAGCGCCATTCAATCCAATTTACATCGTTTAAAATATTATTGGCCTCTCGAAAGTTTATGCCGTTATCACTGATAATTATTCTTACGTTCCCTCTCCTAGCCACAAACCTCTTTAATGCCAGTGTAAATGAAAAACCCTATAAGTCGCGCACATGAACAAAACCACCCAGCACTTCTCCCCTGTACGAAGGTACAGGGGACCAGTCAAACCTCACTACCTCAAACGCTCTGCTACAATTTACTCAGTCTAATGGCAGCGGAGGGGGCGGTGCATTACCTGCTTTAGAACATGTCGTCAGCAAATATTTTCTCACAGTCTTTTTTGCAAGCCTCCTCATTCCAACAATCCAATAATCCTTTCTCAAACTACTAATGAGTGTTTCCAAACCTGTATGGAGTAGCGCTAGATGTCACTACGAAACTAATCTCTATAATAACATTTTTACTCGGCAATAAAATCGGACATTTAAAATTATTGGAGTCATCAACAAGAGTCAAGCGGGTTTTCACACACAATTAATTGTCATCATTTAAAACCTTTTCTAAATTTAAGTTATTCAACGCTTGTTGATTCTCTCTTTGTATCAAACCTTTTTTAAGCAGATTCATATTTATCATCACATGATCCGTTTTCTTTCTAATACCTGCCTTACAATTCTGAGCGAAACTTAAACACCAAGCCATCATTCGTACCAATTTTCAGTAGGTACTTACTAAAATAAAACTACCTCACATTATCTTGTGCGGTAAGCACACTCTTATTTCATGCTAAAACTATACCAGAGTCAGTCCAAAAATATTCCTTACAGTATTTTAAATT